TACTGGGTTTCACTTGCGTTAAACCCAAGAGGATTGAAGCAGTTTCGGTGTTCAGACTGGCTAATCCCTCCCTCCCCGTTCCACCCCTTTTTAAAAAAAGACATTATCATTGGATTCCCTAAGCATGCCCATTCACATTATGTAAATGATTCTGCTAAAGACTTACTTCGAGTCCCAATAAAAAGCTCTCATTTTCTGTAAATCTTCATCGAAGAATGATTTGACAATAAGATCCTCCCAATATTCTTCTTTCGATTGATTACTAGAGAATAGAAATGTGATGCTTAGTAAGGCAGTAGCAACTGCGAATCTTAATAGTCTACAGCGCTTCATCCTGAAAACGCTTTTGCTTTCTCTTACTGCAATGGATAAAATAAAAATTTCCGAAATGCGGATTTGAGAATCGTAGAGATTTGAAAATCCATTCGCCATATGGCCCTAAAAGTATCACTCCTAATCATAATCTGAATGCCTACGCGAATGTCCCTGCCTTGCAGTGGCGGTCCCAGGATTTCCGTCCAAGGGGGCGGGGGAAGGTGCAAAAAAAATTTTCCAATGAAAGTGCGTGGCGTTAGCTACGCACTCCGAAGAAAAATTGGTGCTTCTCAAAATTTTTGCTGGTCCCCAATCCCTAAAATCTGGAAAAAGGGGGCGCGGCGTCAGTCACACCCCCGAAAAAAGTTTTTCTATAAGGCCAACTTGAATTTTTAAAAATTCTTAAATATTATTTTAATTGTTTATAAGAATAAACAATCCCTGCGCATTTTTATAGTTCATATAAGTAATTTTCAAGAATTTCGCGACTCATTCTGGGGGGGGGGGAGTGCGCCTTCCCTCGCCTCCCCCCACCTCTCCCTCCGTCCGCCACTGCTGCCTTGTGCTAAATTTTTCTTGACAAAATGCTAGCAATGAAGATTTGTGCATTTTAGGCACAAATTTTCCAAAATGAAAAAGAGGTTGCTACAATTTTACCTCTTTCAAGGCACGGTCCAACAACGTGCAATAGAATTTACTTTAATGCAATGGCACCCCCTAATTAAAGGCAGTGTCTCACCAAAGTTGAAGTCGCGGGGATCTTTACATATTCTATTATAGGGACCTCTAGATAGGCCATTGCAACAAGTCCCACTCAATTTGACCCCTCTATGCTGAGAAAAACTCGCTCAAAGTGGTACGCGGAGAGCCAGTTGGTACGCGCGGACGACTCCTTCGGTCTCCCCCTTACGCGTTTGAACATGTCCCTCCACTTGGCATCCACCTCCCCTCTGTTGCTGCCACTGTGGCTGGGGCTGAAGTTGGAAGGTACAACTCGTCCACCTTGCTTCCGCGGGGCCTCCAGAAAACGGGGTTTTTGGGAAATTCGTGCGATTTTAAGCCCATACAGTGCTAGACAGGGTCCGACAGGCTTGCAAAATGCAAAAATTTCCGCAACTAAATTTTGGTGAGACATGCCTTTAAACATTTGTCTAAGGAGTCCTAAAAGGCAAATTGTGACTTTTTCATAACTATGCGCATTTAAGCATTCGGAAGTTTACAAAAAAGAGTATATAGTGTATCTTCATGACGATGCCTTCAAACAGCTGAAATAGCATTACGAACTTTTGGTTGTTTGTTTACATGCTCTGCTCAAAACTTTTGAACATCGACAGAACTCGAATTTTTTCAGCGATTGTCATATGTAACGTCCAAATTGCTTAAGCGCAAAGCACAAAAGCCAGTGACCCGATACAAAGTCTCAGATAACTAACCAGGACTTCCGCAGCACTTTCGCAGCATTTCCGCCGAGTACTGCGGAAACTCTGCAAAGGTGCTGAATCCCTGCAATGGACTGCTGCGGAAATGAAGATGGAGAACTTCTGCTGCACTTTGTTTGCGTTTCCGCAGCACTTTGCGGTTTCCGCTTTTGAATTCTGATCCTCTTCCATATCGAACTAGCATGGTGATGTTACATAGAGCACTAATAGACTAACTCTGCTCCTTCCGATACCGTCAAGATGCTAATAGAATACGTTCATATAAGTTTGATCTTGCCAGCATTGAAGAAGCAGAAGGAAGAAGAGAAAGGAAATAAGAGAAACAGAAGAACCGTACGGCAGACAAACGGCAAAGAAGCGCTTGCTATTAACTGCGGAAATGCTGGCAGGTCAAAGTGCTGCGGAAATGCTACGATTTTACAGCATATCCGCCGCGCTTTTATGGAAAGTGCTGCGGAAGTTCCGGTTCAATTTCTCTGACGTCAGTTCTCTGTGGAAACCCCGCATTTTGGAGGGTGCACTTTCTAAATGGTTAGGAAAGTGTTGCGGAACCGTAGCAAGTTCTGCTTGTCTTGCGGAAGTCCCGGCTGTCTGAGGTGGGACTAAATTGAGCACATTGTTATAGTCCACTCCTTGTGGGGTACATGATAAAAATAAGTATGGATCGGGTTGGTGCTTTTGTTTGGAACATGAAAACAAGTATGCACACTGACTACATGTATTGACTATTCTAATACGAATCCAGTTAAAATTCCAATACTGCAAACCATAATGGTATAGAAATTCACAAACAATGAACCGTATACTTCGACCAATCGTCAAAATTGCTTTGAATCTCTGTAAATCTTTCACAAAGTCTTTTGACGGTCCTTTTTTCTTCCTGCCGCAAAGTGATTTGTTACAATTGCGCCAACGTTCGGGAAGAACTTTTTTGAACACATATGGTGACCTGGATATGTCTAAATGTCGCTGAAAACAATGGATCTGATCAAATCATAGTATGCAAAGTAGAGAGTTTGTATTTACGAATGTAGGATTCTGCTTTAAGATTTTAGTAAAACCGAAACTATCCAGAAGCAGGAGATCAGCCACTAATAGCTAGAAAAGTACACTATTTACACGATCTGTCCCTCAAATTGGAGCTTTCGGAGGTTCTTTGAGGTATTACATACATAGATTTGTTAAACTCGAACGAAAAAACCTTAACTTTCTCAGAAAATTTTTCTCGTCTCCAGTCTAAGTAGTAAATCGTAGCTTTTCGATACATGCATATCACATTTAAGAAATTTAATTCTTGAGTTTTTTTGGCAAGTTTCCAACTTGCGACTGAAGGGACTAGACTTTCAAAATGCCTCCATATTAGTACCGATGTCCTTGGAAATCCATAAAAATGCAAAGAGCAAAATAAGAATATGAATTTTCAAAAGGGAAAAAGTGGGGATTGAGGTGCTGTCACATTATTGCTTTTATTAGGTTGTCCGGAAAGTGATGCAGGTCTTGAATTCCAACCTCAACAATTCATACGCTTCTCATTTCTAAGTAGTTTGCTAAACACCATTCGATAGAACAAAGCAAGCTCTACAAGATGGCTATCTTGCTTTAACAACAGCTCTGATCCATTACGAGTTTCGGGCCAAAAACTAAAAAGATTCAACTGCCGGAAAAATTGAGAAAAATCTTAACTCAGTTCGTAAAAATCCTACAAGAATTCTAATTTGCTCACGTAAACTCAATCCACATAGGGCATCTATATACGCCGTTGCCGTTTTTTTTTCTCTGTTAGAAGTGAAGAAAACGGAAATTTTTGTGCATTTGCCAAAGTGATGCTGTGCCATTCCCACATAAGTATTTGTATACTACAAACATGTAGAAGTACAAACGTAAATTTCCAGCTCTCTACAAGCTTTAGTTCTCAAGAATTTGAATTTTAACTTGGACCACATGACTAGGGAAAACTGTATTCGATATTTCTCGAGAACTAAAGCCTGTAGAGAGCTGGAAATTCACGTTTGCACTTCTACATGTTTGTAATATACAAATTCTTATGTGGGAATGGCACAGCATCACTTTGACAAATGCACAAAAATTTCCGTTTTCTTCATTTCTAACAAAGAAAAAAATACGGCAACGGCGTATATAGATGCCCTATGTAGATTGAGTTTACGTGAGCAAATTAGAATTCTTGTAGGATTTTTACGAACTGAGTTAAGATTTTTCTCAATTTTTCGGGCAGTTGAATCTTTTTAGTTTTGGCCCGAGACTCGTAATGGATCAGAACTGTTGTTAAAGCAAGATAGTAATCTTGTAGAGCTTGCTTGGTTCTATCGAATGTTGTTTAGCAACCTACTTAGGAATGAGAAGATGAATTATTAAGGTTGGAATTCAAGACCTGCATCAATTTCCGGACAACCTAATATATTAGGTTGAAAAGAACGACATCCGAAATTCGGAAGTTTTAAGCAAAAATTTTAAAAATCTAGAAACTGCGCGATAAAATCCAGAACAGTCATCGCCCTAAATTTTCTTATATTTTATTACTAACTGAGTCAAGTTTGTGCTGATCGAGCTCTTCTCTCAAAAGTTATGATTCTTTGAAAAAAAAAGCAGAAAATCCAATTTGCTAAGAATTCTTAAGATATCGATTTTTCGGCATTTTTTTCAAAAATCATAACTTTTGAAAGAAGAGCTCGATCAGGACAAACTTAATCGCACATTTTCTAGATATTTATTTTTGCTCAAAAATTCCGAATTTCGGATGATCTCGTTCTTTCATTTTTATCTCTGCAACCTGAGCATGTTGGAAAGTCCCCAGGGAACTATCGGAAACTACATGTTTTACGCTTTCATAAAAAATTTTGAGCTGTGCAGAATCGTCGTGAAGGAAAGAAGTTAAGATTTTTGAAAATGGTGCGACAGAACTTTCGGTTCAACCTAATATTTATTGTAACCCGTATCTGTGAAGCTGAACTTTGTTCTTTGCTCATAAATGTCATTGATCAAATTTGCCTAAAGATTCTAGAGTTTCAGTGAAAAAGTAAAAAAAAACTTATGTTACGACCTAATGTTTGCAATTGAACACATACGCCAGATTCACTCTCTCCCGTATTTCGTAGTGTGGTGCAGCTTTTGCTGCACATTTAACCTCCGGATAATGCACTTCTGAATCCAGTGTTAATCCAGTGTCGTTTCAAACGCTTAGTACATCCCTTTGTGTAAGCTCACACCTTTTGTTCAGATCGGATTGTATTCTGTGTGGAAATGAAACGCTGATCCACAGTTGAATCAGCCGAGCTGAGTCTATCAACGGAACGCTGGTATCTTTTATGTATTGGTGGAATCAATTCCTCTTCAGTCTTCGCTGAAACTGTGGCTACAGATACTAGCACTTTACAAGAAAATGTCCCGTCATCAAGGCTACAAACATCCCAATGTGAGTCAACTGTTTATCACCTTAGTCAGTCAAAAAATCTTCTGTAGTGCTGTATAGTCTCCACCATATAAATTTATGTTTTTGCTGTGCGATTAGTGCATTTATGTATGCCATCCTCAATTAGTAAAGAATGCGCAAAGCTGAAGCAAAGGCCTTCATTTGTGCACCAATCCTCTTCTCTACTACCCTCAAAAACACTGCTTAACAGAATGGAACATGTGATCTTGTAAACTTTCCCCTTGTTTCAGCGCAAAAAGTGAGGGTAAAGGGCCGGGCATATAACAGGCGATTTCATCGCCTCGCGATTCTCCCAACAAGACAACTGTTCCAAGTTCATTGCATGGCGATCATCTTGCATTTTGAATTGTTATAGTTAGTCGTGACTAGTCGCTTTGTAAAACTATTACAACCGTGCAAGATAGTCATGCAATGAACTTGTATCAGTTGTGTTTTCGGGAGAATCGCGAGGCAATGAAATCGCGTGATGTATGCCCGGTCCTTAAGGCCCCGGACAGACTTCACGCGACCTTAATCGTCGCGATCTAATCGCCAAGATTTCCATTCATTTTCATTTTACAATCAAAAATTTCGGGCTGGAAAAGTATCACAACCGAATGCAAGTTGATCGGCATGGAATGATGGTGTAACAGTTGCCTCGTCGCGATTCAGTCGCGACGATCAAATCGCGTGAAGTCTGCCCGGGGCCTAACTCAGATAGCAGCTTGGTTTGAAGTTCAAGAAATCCTTAAACGATTTTCCGAATGTCCCCTTGGCGAATTTCGGGAGAGTTAGCAGACATCTGAGTTTTTTCGGAAACCCGAAGAGTGGTGTATGCGCTATGAAAATAATCTTAATGAATATTATTCAAAAGGTGTTCGTGAAAAAAAGCTGTTTTGAATTTTTGCTGACCACACTTACTCTGTGTTGACCTTTATAAGAGCAAAAAGAAAGAAGACGGTAAAGGTTCTGTATGCCCTGTTTACATACTATCACCGTACAATTATCGGTTAATACTCTAAGTGGAACTGGGACTTCGCTTCTAGGTTTTTTTTTCAAAGGAATATATGCTAGCAAGATTGTGCTTCTATGTGTTCATTTTGCCATAAACAGAAACTAGTTTTTGCTCTGCCTCTGTACACAGTCCGCTGAAGGACATAATTTTGATGAAAATTGAACTTTCATTTTTCGTGATATAGACTTTGTCTGTATTAACATATGGCAAAGCAAACAGAGCTGTCAATTTGATGGAAGTGCAGCGCTCACAAAGGCGCAAATATATGCGAAAATTTTTGCAATTTATAATTGTTTTCCCTCGATATTTTAATCTCTAGACACACTCATTCTACGCTATATGGTCTTGCCAGTGGCGTACCCAGGATTTCGGCTCGGGGGGGGGGGGCGACAAAAATTTTTTTCTAAAGAAGGTGCGTGGCGTGAGCCACGCACTCCAAAAATTTTTTTGGGGTGCTTCTCAAAGCTTTTGCGGGTCCCCGACCCCTAAAATCTAGAAAAAGGGGGCGTGGCGTCAGCCGCGCCCCCGAAAAAATTTTTTTTACAAAGCTAATTTGAATTTTTAAAAATTTTTAAAAATTATTTTAATTATTTACAAAAATAAACAAGTCACTTGCACATTTTTATGACCCACATAGGTAACTTTCAAAAATTTCGCGACCCATTCTCGGGGGGGGGGGGGGGCGCCCCCCCCCCCCCGCCCTCCCCCTCGGTACGCCACTGGGTCTTGCAAAGAAATTGAAAGAGTCCTGTTAGTTGAAAGAAAAACGCATTGGAAACAGGGCAAAGAATAGTATCTTTTCGTGCCATCCAATGCAATGCGATTTACATAACTGCAATCTAAGTTTCCTCAAATTAAAGGATGATATTAAGTAATTTTTTTTTCAATTGATAGCAAAAGGAACCGTTTTGTTCATTGTGTTCGTCCGCCCCCTCCCCCCAATAATCTCATAATCTGCTACTTTATTTTTTAATTCTGTCACAAAGTTCCTCGAACATGGTACATGCCCTTTCCTTATTTGATGAGCAGCCAAGTGTAACGCCCGTCTCCGCCATTGTCCGCTCGCTATTGACGGAACTTTTTGCGCATTTTCTTTTCTATACGTACATTCCCAAGTAACACCTCTGATGTCACGGACGAGTTCCACATAAACAGGCCATCCCTCTCATTGCCTCCTTTCTTACCGTGTATTTTACCCAAGTTTCTCGTAAAGTAAACCCTGCATAGGAAGACATTCATATCTTGGAATCTAAAAGCCTTGAAGTTCAGAAAACAATTGCTTAATGAAGCGTGTAGCGTCATCGTTTGAAATTAATTTTTCAATGATATCATTCCGAACATTCTTCTGCAGTTTCTAGAGCGCGAATGAACTTGAGTGCCCTTGATTTGAGTGGGCGAGAGAGCGAGAAAATTAGATTTGTGCCATCTCCTGACTTGTGCATTGCAAGTTGACGAAATAATAAAACGATTTAGTTTCTCTTGACTCGGAAAAATTTTATTTTTACTTACATGGACTGTAAAAATGTGCAGGTCACTTGTTTAAATGACCGTAGCTAGTTAAAATAATTTTTGAAACTCTTCAGAACATATTAGCTCTGCAGAAATAATTTGGGGGGTGTGACTACCGCTTGCATTTTCCTTCAAGGAAAATTTTGTCGCCCCTCCCCGAACGGAAATCCTGAGAATGCCACTGATTATGCTCATGCATATGTGAGGCATCGACTTGCTGCAGAACATGTGATTCTCCTCAAATTTAAGCTTTCCAAGAAGCAAAGTTCAGTTCTCTTCTCGGAGTTCGCTGGTGGGATTATCCAACGGGAAATGGAGATTAGGTGTTTTTTGTTGAGAAAAGAAAGGAGCGCAAGCTTAGGATAGCATATTGTTTTTCATACACATACTGGACTGTGCTTGCTCCTCATTTTACCAATTTCTTTAATTATCAATTTCCTATCTCTTCTCTTCTTTAGGCATCTTTTGGAACGCTAGATACAAAATTTAGCACTATTTGTCGTCTTCCTTTCTTCTTTGAACAGCTGTCACCCTTTTGGTAGTATAACCCGTTTGAGATAACAATTTGCAATGAAGTCTTTAATGACTTCCTGCAAATAGATTTCTACACTCAATATGGAACACCGTGCAAAACTGTTGACCGCTAGTCGCCATTCTTGGCGACCATTCGTCGTCGATATAAAACATCCTACGACCGCTCCAGCAACGTTATGTAAATAGTTCCTTGTTACTAATTTCCTTTTAATTCCTTGCTTTGTAAGTACTCGTAACCCGAAGAATTAATCTAATCTTCCTTTGAACTACATGATGTTAGGACCCCAGTCCACTGGCAATGATTCGGAATATTCATGGGTCCCTGCTTCCTATTTGCTTGGGATAAATTTTATTTGTAGGAGGAGAATGTGCTCTACAAAAGCACCTATAGTCAATGTCAATTACATACTTCCTTTCGCATAAGAACTACGCATGCGCAGCGCAAGGACCTTGCGTGCGTATCCACAATGGATGGGGCTTAGAATGCTCGAGTCATACGCGCGCGAATCGCGAAGCTCATTGCGTTTACGGAAAAGGGAGCACTCGATTGACACCGATTGTAACAGCTATCCCCAATTCATCTTGCTACGATACGGTAGAGAAAAATCACTCCCATTTCGATTTTTCTGTGTTGGTGTTGTATAGTTTGAGGGCAGAAATCTTGCAAAATTAAAGGCTTGCAATTTTTTTTTCTTGAGAAGAAACTGTTTAGTCACAGCTACAGCGATTAGCAGGGATAAAACCTTAATGGCTGTGTTTATGGTGTAGCGTTAAGCTGCACTACGACTTTACAATGTTCTCAGAGCCTGTCTTCGATTCGACTCATTTCCCTCCGTTTCCAACAGTTCAATTATGAAACCTGTTTACACACTATATTCTCCAAAGTGAAAAAAAAACCTGTAGGCAAGACCATCATTTAGTCATGCCTGGGCAAAGGATGTTTTCACATTTTTTGGAAAAAAAATTTTGTCACCAACCTCGACAATTGTTAAAAACTATCAGATAGCATGAATTTCTGGTCCATATTATTTCTGCGATTTCCGTTACCCATATAGCGCGGAAACTTCCAGCTACACAGCACAAGACATTGATAATGAATGGCTACTCACCACTTCTTCTTTTGTTCTACTCTCAGTAATTCGCTTCCAGAGGAATTACGATCGAAACCACAAAAATAGTCCGCCTAAACCCCAACTCCACCCAGAAATGCAACCGTGACGTGTGATGTCGTGTTCCGTGGTTACGTCTGCAATTTTTCACGTTCACTTTTTGTGTGAAGTCCTCGATCTCGGCAGTGCTGTAGTTCTCTGAACTTCGTGCAAACTTTCGAATCGTGCATGTTGACTTTTAGTACAAGTTATAGAATTGTTTTGGATTAGCTTTATTTTAGAATGTGGGCTTTTAGAAGTTGAATTGCATTTTTCTTTCCTTTTCATGAGTATCGCTACTTTATTAACTTTGATTCTGATCCCTTAAGAAACACGGTGTAGAACTGACAGCGCATCCGCAATCTCTATGAGTTCTTTGCTCACAGTTTGTGCAAAATATTTTATTTGATTTTCTCGCTGCATAATGGAGGAAACGCTAAGCTGTTTTTTGTCGTAAGTGTAGCAATGCCGACGATTACTCAAACTTTTTCATTTGCCAGCTTCGTCAGGGCACAGAAGTTGTCATCAATTAAATGGCGCACGTAGAGTAGAACAGCCGCTGAATCCGACAAGTAGAGTTGTTTATCAAATCTCTGCGACTGTCGATGACCTAATCTGCCTCTCTTATCCCTTTTGTGTTCTTTTTTTTACGCCAACGGCAAAGATTAATATTAGTATAGATACGGACGTTTTATTACCTTCTTTTTTTCTAGGCTTGGCTAGGAGTAGACCTCGATGTAACGATGCCGCGGTCAAATAGGAATGCTTTCTCCATTGGAGTTGTATGCGTATTTGTGATTGTGTGTATGTATTTATATCGTAGTATAGACACTCGCAGCTCTACTGATTTGCTTAAAAATGAGGTGAGGACAAATCTAATTCTTATACTTTAGTTTCTGCATCTATTTTCTTAGCATGTTTCCTTATTTAAAATTTTTTTTTGCAGAAGACTATTGCTAATATGAAGATGAATATCGACCAGCTACAAAATATACTAAATGATAACCGACAAGAGATAGCAGAGTTGAAAAAGAAAGTAGCTGACGCTGAACGGAAACGAAAACAGGAGTGGGACAAGCAAGTGGGTGAGTGGTACCTATAAATCTTATTATAATTTTACGCTCTATCGGTATTGTTAATTTCGTGCTTTGTTGTTGGAGAAATCATACCTAGATTTTTTCGTCAGCCTGGTTCATTTTAATTACTTTTCAGAGAAGGAGAATGAGGTCTACGATGAGAAAGCCGAGGCCCAAAAAGCTTTAGAGAAGAAGGTGGAACAGATTGCTGGTGACGCAGACCATAAGGCTGTCGAAGAGGAGGAGAAAGCTGTCGTCCCAGAACCGAGAGGTTTGTCTGGCAATAGATTGAAGCTCTTAGTCATGCTAAAACTTTATTTATGTATGGTTTGTTCCTTAGTAAAAGAGATACAGAATCCTTTTATTTTTGTCTTTCCTTGAAAATTCAGTGTTTTCAGGCAAAGTCGGTGTGGTTCATGATTTTCTTCATAGAACTACGACAAAATCGACGTCGCCCGTTTGTCAGTTAAGGAAAGATTACGTCAACAGCAAGACGCATGTTCAGGTACGTACAAGCTTTTTTCCTTATAGAGTTGTATGACTTGGCCGCAACTTTTGCTTCTTTAGTTGAAGTAGTGGAAAATTTTTACCTTGTTACGACAAGCATTTAACTAGGGCGGGGGGAAGAGGTACAGAAATGATTATTTTACTACCTATAAAATATCGTGCTTGATATGAATCGCGCGTATGTGTTGAGCAACGATCAAGGTAGTAACTTCCCTTTTTCAACTGGAAGTTACATCGTGCCTAAAATATTGACTTTTTTCCTTTGTAGATGTTGGATTTGTACGACGTCGAGGCTTTTGATAATTCCGATGGTGGCGCATGGAAGCAGGGTTGGGAGGTTACCTACGACAAGGACAAGGTTGCTCAGGAAAAGAAACTGGAAGTGATCGTGATACCACACTCTCACTGTGACCCTGGTTGGTGTCCTATCCAAACTTTTTCTTATTTGCTTGGTTTTTGAAGCAGTTTACCTCTATCTTTTTCTAACGCATTTACGTGATTTAGGTTGGATCAAGACCTTTGAGCAGTATTACGCCACCCAGACCAAGAAAATCTTGGATGGAATGTACAAAAGCTTGAGCAATGATCAAGATTTTGTCAGTTTGTTTATCCAATTTGTAGTTTCTATCTTCTTGCACTTTCTTTTATCATACGTAGTTCATTTAGAGTGGCATGCGCTTCATATATGCTGAAATATCATTTTTCGAGCTGTGGTGGAAGGACCAAAGTGAGGCAGTGAGGGCAAAAGTTAGGGAGTAGGTTCCATTTATCTCCTTGCTTGGGCTTGATCATGTGACTGCTTTGCTGCTTTTAGGCTGCTGGATAGTGGGAAGTTGGAAATTGTCACGGGTGGATGGGTTATGACCGACGAGGCCAATGCTCATTATTTCTCGATCATTACCGAACTCATGGAAGGACACGAGTTCATTAAAAATCATTTGGGAGGTGAATCCTTATCTTCATATATAGCTATGCGAACAATATACAGTCGAATCATCTCACATGATCATGTGTGCATTGCAACACCGTCCATCTTTGGCGTCCTCATCCTGATTTGCAATCGCAAAACGTAGGAAAGTGACCAGTTGCTATGGCTTATATCACTTTAAGGTGACTAATACCCAAAAAGTAAAGAAAACATAAAGGACACATCGAGAACACTTGAATCAAGGGTTGTCTGCTCCAAGAATCCCGGATGGGAATAAAGATGGACAGTGTGTGCAGTGACACACATGATCATTTGAAATGATTCGACTGCATATTTTAACAGTCACAAATTTTAGGTTTTCGCCCAACTAGTCATTGGTCAATAGATCCATTCGGTTTATCACCATCGATACCATATCTCTTGACTGCAGCTAATATTACTAATGCAGCCATACAAAGGTTTGTCATTGTGCATTTTTTCTTCTACATTCTACAGCACCTTCTTCTAGCAGTTCTTACAGTGGTATTTAGCTTGACGTGAATCTTCTTGCTTTAGGGTACATTACTCGGTGAAGAAACACCTTGCAAAAAAGAAGCAGTTGGAGTTTATGTGGCGACAACTTTGGGGTAAGCGTATGGCGTGATTGTTGTTTTTTTAATGTCAATCATCTGGTCGCTGTAGGTGCACATGGTAAACAAGACATGCGTACTCATCTGTTCCCTTTCTACTCATACGATGTGCCTCACACTTGCGGCCCAAATCCAGCAGTCTGCTGTCAGTTCGACTTCAGGTACGGTCTTTTCTTATAAAGTTCATATATTGTTCTTGCGATATATTGCTTTATTGAACCTTTTCGTGTGACTTCTTTTTAGTTTGCATTTTTGCTTCTTCTTGTTTTTTTTCTGCATTTCTTGAGATTTGATCATTGTTGTGAAGATTTGTGTCAAGTTGCGCCAACTTGCCTTGAAACCTCCCACCTACTATGGGAAGCTTTGGTTGGATGAAGTGGATTAGCTGAATAAAATCTGGGAAATTGTCTACAGAATGTTCCTTTTAGACGCCTTCCCGGCAATGGACCTGATTGCCCCTGGGGCAAGCAGCCCGTGAGAACTAACAGCGCTAATGCAGAAGAGCGGTAAGTGCAGCTTGAATGGTTCGAAACGACTCTAGCCTTGAAGTTTTCGTGTACTTTCAGAGCATTTATGCTATACGATCAATATAGGAAGAAAAGTCAGCTGTACAAAACCAATGTGCTTTTGGTGCCTTTAGGAGATGATTTTCGGTAAGCTACAAATTTGAATACGCGCTTGCATTTAGAAAGCGTTTGGTGCTTTTATTATTTCGAAGCTAGCAACGTACGTAGCATGCTTTTAGATATGACACTCCCAATGAATGGAATGAACAGTATGTGAATTATATGGGACTTTTCAAGGAAATGGATAAGCATCCAGAATGGAATATTCATGTGAGTCTAAGTCAAACAGTATTTAGTCGTGCCTGCGACCATGACCAAGCGCATTTAGGCGCGTTTTGGAACTCTTGCTGATTATTTTACCGAGCTAGATAGATCATTAAGAGCAGAGTCTGAGTCATTACCGGTGCTCTCTGGTGATTTCTTCACGTATGCTGATAGAGATGATCATTACTGGAGTGGTTAGTGCTACAGAATGCTAACAAAAATATTATACAGTTTTTGTAGGATACTTCACCTCACGGCCCTTCTATAAACAGATGGATCGAGTGCTCCAGCATCAGCTGCGTGCTGCAGAAATCGCATTTACTCTGAAGGCAATGAAGGGCGAGAAAGCACCTGAGGCGGTGGGTCCATTTTTCGAGCATTATTTTGTTTTTAGCATATTTAGTTGTATTTTGTCTTTCTGTTTCGTTTTTAAAATGCTTGGAAATTATAATTTATGACTGTGGATATGTAAGCTCAATGCCTTTATCATATGCATTGAGTTAAGAGGCGAATGCATTTAATGTAACATTTTCCTTCCAATTCGGCATACATCAAGAAGACCGCAATGATTTCATGATTTGAAATATATGACGCTGTCATATGAAAGATGTGTTGGACGTTAAATTGCAGATGGTCGTTTTCAGGTTTTTGCAAAGCTTATACTTGCTAGAAGAGCATTATCCTTGTTCCAACACCATGATGGAGTCACTGGTACTGCGAAGGACTTTGTGATGGTCGATTACGGACAAAAGTAGGTATTTCGTCAAAGATACTCATTTAAAGTTGCCTCGTAGGATGCATGCCGCTCTGACAGCAGCGGAAATGGTGCTTTCCGACGCCCTAGGGAGCTTACTTGGCGGGGATGCGCCTGCATCTGGATCCATGCTTTTGGATGAGTACCGAGAAATACATGACGCGCTACCTCTGAGGCGCACATATTCTATTGGAGAGTGAGTATCTCTTCCAATTCGCATATATTCTGTGTGATTTGAACTGTTTAGCTTCGTGGTAGCCTTCAACAGCCTGTCACGATCAAGGACGGAACCAACATGCATTTATGTAAACTCCATCAATGCAGCCTTAAAGACTGATGGTGATAGAGAGGTAAATTTCATACTTATCAAATCTTTTGCTTTGCATATTTTTTTCAAAGTTTTTGCCGTGAGATTCTTCGCTTTCTTTACACTGTTCGGTCGGCGTTGTCAGTGACAATTTCACAAAGGTTAATTTTGAAACCGAAATGCTGAAACCCATTTCTTGAATTTTATCACCACCTTAACTTTCAGGTGAAGCAGCAAATATCGCCATTGTTCGACCTTGTAGATGACCACTTGGTTCCGTCAGAAAAGTACGAGGTAAGTGTTCTTCTGTCATATTAAAACTACATCATCTTTTTTGATGAACTTTACATCCAATAAATTTCTTTAGCTGTGCTTTGTCGACGAGTTAGAGCCATTTGGTGTTAGTGTCTACCAAGTGATAAAGGCAACTGGTAGTGAGCATGTTGTGATGGCTACGCTTACCGCAAAAGGCGTTGTGAAAACTAGGTAAGGTATGATATTATTACAGAAGAGTGGCTAGAATACTGAATTAAGTTTCTGTTTATTCAGTGAGTTCAAATTCGATCCAGTTACTGCAAACACATATGTTTTGGATAATTCTGTGGTTGCTGCTGAGTTTGATACTGTAACAGGTTTTCTAAAGGTAGGAACGTAATTATAATTCCGGCTTTATCTTAATGTCTGATGTCTGATTTCCAGGCAGTGACTCCTAAAGATCATGGAAAAATCGATGTCGATCTGCACTATGTTCATTATGGTGTTCGTCCGCACCAAAGACGTACGTTTTTTTTTGAATTTTTTAAAATAAAACACTGTGGATCCACTTTCTGTTCCGCATATTGCATGCTTTTTCAATATTGAGTTTTTTGTTTCACTTTCTTTTCCTTTCAATAATGAGTTTTTTGTTTCATTTTCTTTTCCTTTCGCTATCAAAAGCACATGTTTAGTTACATTTGAGGAACGTTGTAAGTTGTTTTCATTCTTGTGGTGGTAGTCATTTATCGTGCTTTTTCCCAAAGAATTTGGATTTCGTTATGTATGCTGCAATTGTGTCCACAAATGATTTGCTTGCGTATCATGTTTTGTATAATCTTTTCTTTTTCAAGCTTGTTGAGTTTTGTCAACTGTTAAAATGTTCAATTCAGCATACTAATCCTTGCCGTTCAGTGAAGAGCGGTAATGCCGACAACCTTTCTGGTGCATACCTATTCCTGCCTGATGGTGAAGCAATGGAAATTCCGAAAACAGAGCAGGACTTTGTGGTGAGTTACATGTAGATCACAAGGAACTGTGCCGGCAGAATGGTCTCAGAAATGGATGTGTTGTTTCTTCACCTTCATCAAGAGCACTACCTCAAAAGACCACGGTCATGTGAAGAAAAGAGTTAAATTTTCTTTCTAGGTTGTCAGAGGACCTATCATGAGCAGAAACTATGTAGTAGGACCAAAAGATCTAAAGATTCTGCAAGTATATTCTCTGGCTCAACGATCACCATCGGTAGAGATTACAAATGAAGTAGATATAAGGTGATAGAAACTTTTGTTATATTTTGCATTATTTAGCGTCTTGTTTCCAGAAGTAAAACAAACTTCGAATTAGCAATGCGTCTAAAAACAAGTGTTCAGAGTGGAGATGATCTTTTCACTGATTTGAATGGACTACAGGTAAATTGCTCTTTTTGCACTGTGGTCTTCAATCACCTTGGGTTGCAGCTTATTAGACGAAAGCGCATGCTCGATAAACTTCCTCTTCAAGCGCATTTTTATCCTATGCCAGCTTCTGCTTTCATAGAAGATTCCAACACTAGGCTGTCTCTACTTGGAAATCAAGCTTTAGGAGTGGCTAGTCTTGCTTCAGGTATGTCATAACAATTGACACATTCTTCCTCCTGACACTCTAAATATACTCCTTAGTTCGAAAACGGGCTGCTTTTCAGGGCAGATGGAGGTCGTTTTGGACCGTCGATTAGATCAAGATGATGGTCGCGGTCTGTTCCAGGTATCTAATCGATTGAGTTTTTTTTTTAGGTCACTTGCTCTGAGCCCTTTTTTTCAGCCTGTTATGGACAATCATCGCACATTATCACGATTCCGCTTACTTGTTGAGCCATTAACACCTGCAGCTGATGTAAATCATGCCGAGGAAAGAATTGGGTTCTATTCTGTGGTGGGATTTGCCCAGAGCATGGAATTGCACTACCCAGTACTGAAAATGCTGACCAAATGTAAGTATTATGCACGGTCGCAAAATCAACCGATTGATCAGTATGGTTTTAGCTAACCCAGGAAGTGAATCAGTAGCTGGTTTACCGGAAAGTCTTCCATGCGATGTTCACATCGTTACCTTGAGGTGAGCTCTACGTTTTGTTCAAATTTTCAGCGACTTCTGTCACTGTGTGTCCAAATAAAACCATTAAAATTTAGAACATCCGCAGGACCAACAAACTACGATGGAAACGGATCAGCTGCGGCAAAAAATGAAGCAGCGCTCATTCTACATCGACCGCTAACAGATTGTCGGTCAAAACTACAATTGCAATCAGATTGCATAAGACAAGGAAATGCTGTAAGGCTGCAATTTTTAATAATTTTCTCGAATGCATTTGCATAAGTGCGATTGTTTGACATTCAAAGTTCTTCTCCTACATTCAGAGTTTCAGATTGTGCCAAAGAAACTCTTTCCAACGATAAGCTCAGCACAAGAAGCTTCACTTACACTATTATATGAAGGAAAAGCTACAGAAGAAGTAGCACTTCAACCGCAAGATGTGACCTCAGTAAAATTATCGTGGTAAATGTGACCGTCGTACGTTACTCAAGTGGCAATTTTCTGTTAATATTTTCCATGCAAAAATTGTGATGCTGCAGCCAAATTACTTGTTTGCTTTTTTGCCAAATCTTAGGCATTCCTGTATTATATTTAGAATCTATCTTGATGCTAAATTAGGAGCAAATGATAACGGATCCTCCTCACCTCTTGATGGTGTCTTGCTTTCTTGAACATATTTGTTTTTACCGGTTATGGGTTAGTTTCATTCGTTTTTTTTTGTAAAAAAAACCAATCTTATAGAATCTTGCCCAAAATCTGTTGAAGTCTGTTAAACATATGGCATTATATGGCATTTCATAAAGAAAACTTTTTTCGAATCATAGTGTTGTCATCTATAAAAAAATCGTACAAGCTATCAATATAGACAGGGCCATCTGAGATTGGGGTTCACGCTGCAGTTAACGCAAAATAACAATGATCAAGCAATGTGGAGTTCTCACAGTGAGCCTCTGACATTATCAGATTGATTTTAGTGGAACTCACAAATTTCAAACGAATGAACGATGAAAAAATGAAAATTCAAATGAACGAACGAAGAAAACAATAAACAACAACCTCATTCCTACAACTCATCTAGTTTATCTTGTCGTGACGGCAGCAGAGGATATCGTTGCCAGGTCATGGATTTATCCGTTTCATAACCTTGTTCTTGTGCTTTCGGTTCATTTAGTTGCAATCCTTCGGACTCCAACGCTTTGAAAAACTCTTTTTGCTGAAAGGATAAATTTACTGCTACATGTATAAAACCATTCTTTTCTAGCGAATTTGACTGTTTGACTGTTCAAGGATCTGTCAGAAGCGAAAGGCGAGAGCTTGGATGCGAGCAGCCGAGTTGTGAATACAAGGTAAAGGGAATCCAATGAAATATAACAGTTCATAATGGGAAAGTATGGATTTGATTCACAATCACAAAAAGAGTAAACTTACATGTTTACTACTTTCAATTTGCTCCCAACTAGGCGCGGGTAATGCAAAGTGAATTCCAGCTCGTAAGCACCGTACAGCTAGAATTCTGCCAAGATTCATCGCTGCACATGTGTCCGTATTGCTGGAAGTCATAACATTTACATGAAGAAGACATTTCATCAAATATATTCATTACAAACATCATTCATTGTTTTCTATGCACGACAACAGACAAGCTCAAGAAATCACTATTTCTAAAGTCTTTGAAAAAGAAGCAGATCTTGCAAAAAATACTACAAAACTTCAAGTTACCTGTAAAGCTGTTCGGAGATAGACTTCTCTCGTGTGGACGCCTCAACGACAGGACCATCGATGTAATGAAGAACGCGAGCATCTTGGTGAGCTTTAGATTGTAATAATTCCACTCTAAAAGCAATTCAGACTACGCGGTAAAAGTGAACTGACACTTTTTAGTGACTCGCTTAGTAGCAAGGTTACCTGCGATTCTATTCAACGCAGAGTAACTTTTAGTGAACTTCACCCTAAGCACACGGGTATCCAACAAAAAAAACATGCCAAACGAAAAAGAATAAAGCGAGAACATACTAGAGTACTCACCTGTAAATGAAACAATGTTTAGCTGCATCCTTCTCGAATTCGTAACCAGTCGGTGCCTTCTGAATACCCATCATCTCCAGATTACGAGGGTTTCGATTTATAAACCGAGCTGCATATCTTACAGCCGACATCTGAGGTTTCTAGCTGGATATGAGGCAGAAATACGACTTTTATTTGCACAAAGCAAATCTCACAAGGGAAGGATACCAGCTCGATCTGGCAAATCGAAAAAAGATATATCACTAGGCGCGCCTTCAAACCTATTAAATCTGCTTTCCTTTTTGCGGAACAACTGTCGAAAAAAGTTATGACCTTTGGATGTCCATGCAGGCCTAAAGTGGCATGAAACTGGCGAAAAGCTGTGCAAAAACACCTACGCGGATTTCCACGCTGCATTCCTTGCTTGTAGTCAATCGACAAAAAAGGAAGAACCCACCTTCAGATTTTTTTAAACAGTATTTCGCTGACTTAGTGCCACTCAAAGCGTGAAAAGCAAGGACATTCAGCAAACTTCTTTCGGAGTTCCAAAAAAGCGGATTTTAAGTCAGCTACGCATCTAGTGATATGCATCCCTTTTCCATCTGTCACATTCCATTGACTAAGCTAAACAATTGAAGCAACAGTCGATGATAAGAAGCAATTTTCAGAATTGAAGCGAACAAGTTGAATGGCCGTAATTTTAGACGTGACTAAAAGCTTGTCCGCAGCCGCAGAAAACTCCGAAAACCGCGGCAGTGGAAGATTTTTCGTATTTGCTAAATAGAGCGTTTTCTACAACTTTTCTCTTTCATCTCTTACCCTGTTAACATAAGTGTTGCTGGTAACACTCATTTACGGCCAAAGCTTTTGTGCTGGCGCAGGACCTGAGTCGTTTGGAAGCTACTTTGACCTTGTCCATTATAGAGGTGTGAGTACGGTAATGGGTGCATTGTTGACAAGTGGGAAGAGTAGATTTGTATTCAAAACTTTCAAGAGGTTTTTGGAATTAGCGATTACTATATTCGTGATCTGTTTGTCAAACAGACTTGTACAGAAATTAACAAAATCTGAGAAGATTACCAGATGACGCTTCACCGTACTTCTACCGTGTCCTCACGAAGAGGTCCTAATCTGCAAAATGACTAACATCTTGGATGGTTTCGATCCCAGATATACTCGATGTCAACCAAATGCCCCCTTTTCCGAGCAGCTACGCATCCGCACCGCAAGGGCCTAGCGCAGCGATCTCATCGATGAGGCAAGTTTTGAATGCGCAAGCAGCACGCGCGCAAAGCTCTGGGTTGCGATTTGGCTGGCGGAAATGTGAGCAAAGGTTGACACGGACTGTATGCACGTCCCTGTGAGCATGAGTAGGATATTTGAGTTTTGATTTACATATCATTCAATGTACCTTTTAATAAATGCAATTTCTCATGATTCATATGCACGTTTCAGGCCTACTCTACTCCATTCAAATTTGCTGTCTAATCGATTCATTGGTTTTTCTAATGTTTTGTGCTATGATTAGGAGTTCGCCATTGAGCTTTTGGTTTTTGCAAGAATCTGAATCAAGACTATCACAAGTAACGTGTCATTGTCATAATTAGTCCGCGAAATCCCCCAGAAACTTAGTTACTTAGTTACTTAGTTGGCCCGTCCTCACGTGTCGTGCGGGCCGCAGCACAGCTTCCATCCGTTCCTATCCCTCGCAAGCGTCAACCACGATTTTCGTATCGGTCGTTGATGGCGAAGATCACGAGATCTAGGTGTAAAATTCGCTTCCAGCTGGTTTTTCAGCTGGTCCATCCTTTCCACGAACACATCTGCCCACCTGGTGGGGGGTCTTCCTCGAGGGCGTTTTACATCGCGAGGGATCCATTCCAGCGTTCTTAAGGTCCATCTGTCGTCTGTTCTTCTTGCAATGTGACCGGCCCATCGGTACTTTACCTTCGAAACATACTCGACTGGGTCTCGTAGACGGGACATACTTCTTAAATCAGAACTGCGAAGTCCGGCAAGATGTTGCGTACGTCGGTTAAACTTCAGAAGACTCCGCTCCATCGCTCTGTGGGTGGTACGAAGAGCTTTCGACGTGGCAGCAGTGTCAGCCCACGTCTCGGCTGCGTAGCAGAGCGCTGGGAGAACGGTTGAATCGAACAGATGAGCTCGGAGCGCAGGGTCCGTTAGTTGGTCGGTGGCTTCTTTCAAAGGCCCATAAGCGACCCAAGCTGCTCTTCGCCTTCTGTTAAGTTCTTCTTTCAAGTCGTTCTGCATGTTCATTGAACGTCCTAGATACACGTAAGAAGAGGTCTCCGTGATTGGGGAATCTTCCAGCTTCAATTCCGTATCCTCAATTAGGCCGTTCTTCATGAACTGGGTCTTCTTCCGATTGATTCGCAGTCCAATCGTCTTCCCTACTTCGTTCAATTCCTTTAACATCGTCTCGGCTTCATTGATACTGCTCGAGAAGAGAACGATGTCGTCCGCGAAACTAAGATTCGAGAGGAATCTCCCATCAACTCGTATACCTCTCTCACTCCAGTCCAGTGATTTCATCACCCACTGCAAGGCCGCCGTGAACAGCTTAGGCGATATGGTATCGCCTTGTCGGACTCCCTTCCCTATTGGTACGGTCAGGGGGCGATGGAACAGCTGTAGCGTTGTAGTGCAGTCCTTGTAGCAGTTGGCTAATGTCCTCACATATGACGGATCCATTCCTTGATCGACTAGCGCTGACAGGATAGCGTTGAACTCGACGCTGTCGAATGCCTTCTCGTAGTCGACAAAGGTTAGGACGAGAGGTAATCGGTACTCCCGGCAAACTTCTATGACCCTCGAAACCGTCTGGATGTGATCCATGCAACTGAATCCCTTGCGAAATCCAGCTTGTTCTGGAGGTTGGGCTTCATCCAGTGTCCTTGAGATGCGAGTGAGAATGATCTTGGTGAAAAGCTTATACAGCACGCTCAACAGGCATATCGGACGATAGTTTCGAAGATCTTCCCGTTCGCCCTTCTTGAAGAGAAGAACGGTTCTTGACGTTCTCCACTGGTCGGGAATCCTTTCCTTCTGGAGATAAGATGTTAGGTGCGCCGCCAGAATCTCGTGTAGACAGTGTCCTCCAGCTCTCAGCAGGTCCACGGAAAGATGGTCTGGTCCTGGAGCTGTGGACGTCTTCATGGTCTGGATCGCGACGCGTACTTCAGCAGGAAGAATTCGTGGTGGTGTGTCTCCAGTGGGAACAGCGGGGTCTGGCACGGGTGTTGATGAGCGGAAGAGGTTGGTGTAGAAACTCTTCGCGATCGATTCCATTTCTCGGCGGGAAGTTGTTGGTATCCCATTTTCGTTTAATAACGCTCCCAGTGGTATGTGGTAGTCGCAAAGGTCCCTTCGGCATTTCTTCAGACTTCGTCTTTGTTCAGCGGCTTCCAAAATCCTCCTTTGCCTGTACTTTCGTAGATCCTCCTGCAATGCCGTTCTGCAGCTGGTATTTGCCACCAACCGCTCGAGGTGAGATGCATTCGGATCCAGCCTCAAGGATCTTCTTCTATCGAGCAATTCCTTGGTGGTGCTTGAGATGCGATCCAAGTTCCTTGCACGAGTTGTTGAGGCGCAATACCCACAGGCTTCCAATCCTTTGAGAAGCAGCTCGTAGTCCTTTGTTGGGTCTTCCTTGATGGGCCACTCACAACATGATAAGAGCTCCTCTAACCTTTGACCGTCGTAAACGACTTCATTCCTTCGTGGACTGCGATGGCAAATCTTCCTTTCCAGCTTTTGACTGAATCGTACCTTCGCTCGTAGGAGGCGGTGATCAGAACCACTGCAGAAAGATGGCACTACCGATACGTCAAGTAGGCACCATCTTCGGTTGGTGAGTATGTGGTCAATCTCCGCATGTGTCGTTCCATTGGGTGACTCCCATGTCCATCGTCGTTGTTCTTTCTTCATGAAAAGTGAGTTTCCATGAAACAGGCGTGCGGCGGATAGGATCCCAATAAGACGGTTACCGTTATCATTCCGGAGCCCAAATCCAAATTTCCCGATCCTATACTCCTCTTCTTGTTTCATCCCGATTTTCGCGTTAAAGTCACCCACAACAAACTTGTAGAAGGACTTCTCGTTGCGGACGACCTCCTCTACATGCTCGTAAAAAGCATCCAATTCCGAATCATCAGCTGCTGATGTTGGAGAATAGCAGTTGATGATGCTGATGGTCTTCTGGTGTGGAGGGTGTAGGCGAAGGATGGCCAGTCGGGGAGACAGGATCTCATGCGAATCGACGAGATGGACGATCGTTGGGTGGACGACAAAGCCGACGCCTCCCACGTTCCGCGACGGAACTTTCTCACCACGAATGACGAGGGTCCCATCGCTCAACTGTCGCACGTCTTGCTTCCTGGACTTCGTTTCCTGCAGGGCGATGACGTGGTACTTGATGTGCCCTGCGGCGTGGAGAAGGGCGTGAAGGTCGGCGTCTGTGGAGACTGTTCTGGCGTTGTAAGTGCAGAGCATGAAGCAGTCTCCATGGCGGGTCGTCGCAGGTGTGCCGTTTTTGTCCAATCCAAATGGCGCCCTGAGCAACCTGCCACCAGCCTTGTTTCCTTCCGGCGCCTTAGTCGGGGTCTGATGACAGGGCTTTATTCCTTCACTTGCTGCTCGAGTTTTAAATTTTTTCCCCGGCACTGAGTCGGCTTACCAGGCCTGCTCAGGCCTACCATATTCAGGCGATCGCTGACCATCACTATGTGGAGTGGGGACCCGCCTAACGACCTATTAGTCAGACGGCGGAAGCTGACCCGGTTCGCTCTTTGCTGGGCGTCCGGGAGCCAGAGGTTAAACTCTGGCTGCAGGTAGCTGACACCCAGGGCCACCCCCACGCCACTTTGAGGCGGCGAACCATCGTGGGGGATCCCCCAGAAACACGCTTTTCAATTCGAAGTTCGAACTTACTCTTCTAATGCTAAACTGTCGTAACCATGATGTACGGAGCTATTAAACCAAATAAATATTTCTTATCCCATTTTTCAACAAGCCTTCTCCGGAACAATGTCTTGAATCATGGAAACTTGCCAGCATTGATTTCTGATGTTTGTAAATCTGGCACGGCGAAGAATGCTGCGATTCAAGATGATAAACCAAGTAACAGCTTATCTTGAATGCATTATGGGAATAAATTATTGATTGTTCATAGGGCCGAAAGTCGTGACGATGGCGCGACTGCGCGCGACACATACGCACCTCCCGCACCGCATTTTCTTGGTTTTAATCTCTGCTTGAGTAGTTTTTCTGCTTACGTATGATAGTATCTAGACACCGGAAGCGACTGAGCCGAGCGGTGTCTTTTGAATGAGTATTTCATGCTCCTGTGGGCGCAAAGACCGCAGCCAAATCCGTCGTCACGATTTCTAAAATGTTTTCATCTCTCTACTTGAATAGTTTTGAAAATATAAATAACTAGTTAACTTACCCGGCTCCGCCCGGCCCTGTCATTATTATATTCGTAATCAGCATGCTCGATTACCCCCCCCCCCTGTACCAACTCCCAGCCCCGTAGCTCAAATTTTGCAAAAAATCGATATCGATCGATGACGAAAAGTAGCCTATGACACCGCCGGGGCCCGAAGTGTATGTGTACCAAGTTTGGTCCCGATCGGTTCAGAAATGGAATTTCCTATTCGGAACATACGTACACAGACAGACGTACACAGACATACATACATACATACATACATACATACATACATACATACATACATACATACATACAGACAGACAGACAGACAAACAGACATTCAGCTTTATATCCGATCTCTTTAAAATGTTTTTTTCACAATACTAACCACTTAACTGTATAACATTGCAGATCACTCATCTTTTCTTCAAATCGCGCTCATCGGACTCGTATATCTCAGCTGAAAAAAAATTTGGGAGTCTTCCTAGGAATATGTTTACGCTAACAAAGCCGTTCAGAATGTTCCCTGTCCAAGCTTATGTGAAACAAGTACAAGGTGGGAGCATTTCTGAATTAAAATCCACTTGCGATCTCAATTGCAGTGTCGCTCGCGCGCTGCCGCAGCGCTTAGGCTTGCACAGCTTTGCTAGCATGTTTTCCTACCATTTTCCCACTTTTAATCAACGATTGAAGCTCGACTCTAACAAGTAACTTGTAAGTCATTTCCCATGCTCAAACATGGGAAGATGCCAGAGGACAACGTCGCGAACATGGTGGAGGGTCCAGGGGAGCGGTCGTGCGGGACCCAGCTGCTGGTGCACCCGACGCTGCAATTGATATCGCCTGTAGATCTTTCACCTTTCATCAATCTCAGCTGCAGCTTTTAGATCGCGTCTCATACGACGCGCAGAAGGTTAGGTTAGGGAGGACTTTCCCAACTTTGAGAATGAATCGAGAACTTCTTCGAAGGTAGTCCATTTGAGTCAAGAAATTACAGGGGTAAGTCGTTTTCGATTTCAAATAATAAGAAAAATGTGCCGTTTCTGCAATAATGACGTAGCTTTGTAAAAAATACCATTACTCTATAAAAATTAGGTTGGTGCAAAGATTCTCAAATTGACGTGCTATAAATTTCCAAAATGCCCACATTCTTCAATGCGATAAAGACCATTAAATGCACCAAACCTCAATTCAGCGCACATCTGGCTATGTTTATATCATAAAAGGGCAGAAAAATGGATTGATGAGCAATAAGTGTTTCTTCCGGAATTCCAGTTTTAACTGATCATAAATCCCTCCAACATTTGTTGATGTAGGTAGGTAGGTAGTTGATCGTGTTGCCGCAAGCCAACAGTATAAGCAAAAATGAAAACGCTCGAACAAAAAAGTTAAATTCCTAAATTTTCAGCTTTTTTCAACATTTTTTCCTGGGCCTCAAAGTCCCAAGATATGGAGTTTTTTGTTTTTCTAGTTAACAGGAGGCCCACCCTTACTCTTACAGAAATGAGCAAAACTTTGGCAATTGCCTTTTCCAAAGGAAATTTAGGCCACAAAATGACCAAAACGTCTACCCAGCTTGAGGGGCGCCAAACCTCAGTCTAGGTAATTTTCAAGATAATAGTAAATTGTGCATAATGTAGACAATTTATGTTACATACAGTTGCTGAATTTTTGAAAGAATGCTTTCATTCGCGCTATTCTGGCCAGAATAGTTAATGCAACGAAATTCTAATTTTAAGGATTGTGTGAAGCTCCATAAATTTTTGAAGAATGAGGCTAGAATTTAACCACCACTGGATAGAGCATGAAAAGTGCTTCTTGATATTGTACTAATTTTTTCCAAAGAAGAAAGTTTAATGGAAAGATTGTACTGAATCAAGGGTTGGGAACCGCGCATTACTTTTGCACCAACCTAATAACTTTGCATCGTCGTTCTTGGCTCTAAAAGAGAAGTTTTGCCCCGCCTCCCCTCACCCCGCTCTCCCCTCTCTTCTCCCTCTGAGGAGCATTTCTGCGACCTTCATTGCCGAGGGTGTGTTTTTGGTGTATAATGGCAAGTTTAAGGATCAAGAACGTGACTGCATAGGAAGAGAAGAAAACATATCGGGTATACGAGGAAGCCTCAACTTCTTAAGGCGTTACTCAGTTTTCGAGCTCAGGGTAAAGTATTCTAAATGACTAGACCATAGCCTACCCTCCGATTCATCAGGATTGGCGGGCTGAAGGCGACCGCTCGCGCTTGCGACGTAGTCTGAGTCTCTCTCGCGAGCGAGCTCTCTAATCATCCTCAGCCCAGATTAGGCCTTGAAGCCCCACCTTCCAGTCGCCAATTCCTATGAATCAAATGAATTGCGGCGTTAGAGGACGACAAGGTTTTTTCGAATTTAGGTGCTTGGCGTTAGCTATGCCACAAAATTTTTTCAAACAAGGCTAATCAAAATTTTGAGTTCAAAAATTATCATTTAAAATTAGCGGTTCGCAAAATGCACATTTTTGTAACACATGTAGTTGACTTCTACAAAAATTCGCGACACATTCTCGGAAGGGGGAGAGCACCCTCCGCCTCCCTCGCAGCACTGCTTATTCGTAAAAATGATATTCTGCAGTGATATGTAGGTGGTGGAGAAATTCAACATTAAAATGGCAGAAACAAGATTTGTAGCTCGATTGAGCTGTTGTTTTGTCTAGCTCGATTGAGCTGTTGTTTTGTCTTGTATGTACTGGTATACTCTCTGAACTGACAGAATTCTGAACCATATGTACTATTCTCTCTACCAAGATGTTCTAAAACTCAGCTTTTTTGTAAAGCACAATGACAACAAAAGTCGTGTTCAAGCTGGCATTGTTCGCGCCGAATTGTGCTACAAGCCGTGAACGAATGGTTTGCTGATTCGAGTAGAACAGGCGATGTTCTTCGTCGGCCGTTGATTCACAGCGATCAGCGTTTTCCATTGTGATTTCAGTGCATGAGCCGACTCTGAACAAGCTCGCAGCGCATTGTGAGCGAAAATTTGCCGAACGCACAGCATATGATACTACAAAAGGCACGCTCGAACGTGAATCAGGCACTTTCTTTGGAGGATCGGCATAGCTTTATTCGTCTCTGTTGATTTTGGCTGGGATTTTGAAAGAATTATCTTGCTATTTTTATTTTGTCGCTTGTGAGTTCGAAGGCAACATTCACTCAAATCTAAGTTGATGAACTTTTGATGCAGTACAATAGCGCGGCCACTAACTAAACGACAAATGTCTTTTGAACCGAAGAAAATTGCCCCAAAAGAAGGTTGCTGTTGGAGTCGCCACGCCCATCAGCTTGGGTATTCTGAAAAGTAATGAGCCCGAAGCTAGATTCAACAGTACCTAGAAAAAAATCGCATTCTATCAAAAACACGTACTTGACCAGTGGGCTCTTACTTTCAGACAACCACCTTGGTGGGCGTAGCGACCTCGCAGCATTCATCTTCTAGAGCGATTTTTTCCCTCTGCAAAATATCTTTTGCAGCCGTTTTTTGTCCGTCACTTAGCTAGTGACTTCGTTACTTTACTGTACTGCATCAAAGGCTCACCAGCCCCAGGTTTGGGCACGGGCTTTCAAATGGTAAAAGAATGTATCCCGCCGTTAGGCACCGCTTCCGCGGACCACTGGTTCTCACGCGGCATGCTGTAGGCGGAGCGGGCGCTTATGAGTGGAACCCCCGTCCCTTTAACCAATTTATATTCTCAACCTCTTTTCATGGAAACCCCAAATTTTTCGAAGAATACGCACTTCATGAGATCTTTGTCATCGTGCGCACCGCGTCGTCTCGTTTTTTCTCACTCACACATCGTCCATGACCCATACGGTCCGTACGTTTGTCACTTATGCGGGCCGCTCGAGCGAAAGTGCAATTTCACTTTTCATCGCTAATGTCACAGCATGGTGTGCTGACCTCGAGAGCGACGCAATAGAAAAAAATCCAACGATGCATCGGTTTTACGCTTTGCATTGAGGTCACAACCCCCTAGAAATTGCGCTAATCAAAGCTTCACTTTGGTTAATGATTTCTTCCTCTGTGGATAAGCTGCAAGTATGGAAAGTGGGAAATGTAGCGGTGTGCCAATTTTCTACCCTTTCCAAAGAGACTTTTTACTGACGGAAAATCTAATCAGAATCTCAGCATGTATATAAGACAACAAAGTGCGAGAACTGGTCTTCAAAAACACAACCTCCTCGAAATATCACATTTGCATGAACTAATTATTAAGAAGATTCATACATGAGAAAAGACTAGGCCGTTGCACCTACCAGAAGTGCCGCAAAAACCCTAGCATTTTCATGGAGGCAACCATGCAGAACTGGTCCTTGAATGTACATCAGAGCCAAGGCGCCATTCAGTTATGATTCATTTTTTATGCCGAACAAGCATAGATTTCAAGTTTTTCTCTGAATGCAATGCTGTAAGGTGCAATGGTTCGAAATTTTGCCCAGAATCAAAAAAATAACATGCTGCATCAAATGCGAGGACAATTTTTTGTTGATTTGGGAAAAAAAGTGTCTAAACCATTTTTGCATAAGTCGTCGTTTATGCAATAAGTGAACAGTGAATATTATTTGTTTAAAGTCTAGGTTTTCTAGGAAGAAATATTTGTGATCAGAAAATCATATAGAGGGTAAATGAGGGGAACGGAACTTACCTACCCGAGATATTCTCGCACCTCATGGGTGTGTGTCTGCGGGGTATAATTAGGCATGGCGAGCTCGCTGATTCCAGATGCTCCGTAGGATACAGCGCTAAGCTAAGCCCCGCCCACATATTGCACCTTTTTGGCATAGAACCAAGGCATGCCAGAAAACCTGGCAATCCTGAGGACATCGAGGCTGGCTCAACGCCAGAATGTGCTAAAAGAGGGCTGCGAGGCTCAAAATGGAGCTAATGAAAAGAAAAAAGATGGTTGTAATCAAGAGGATAAGGCAAATCTGAATATGAAAGTGCCGAATCACAAATTCTCAATCTTATGCAAAAAACTCCATAAACTCAAAAAGAAATCATTCGACTGGTAAAACCAATTTCTTAAAAATAGATTACATGGATCAGGTAAATCCAAAAATGCTGAACTTCACTTTCTGAGTATGATCTAAGTGCAGCAAAATATTTCTGATTCGCCACAAAAAGGTCGTAAAGCCAGAATGGACTCAGTCAAACAGTAAATTTTCTGCTCCAGTGTGCGAGATCTTAAGCTAAAGGTCAATTCACCAAAGCAAAATTTCGGCTCTTGTAAGAAAAGACAGCGCAAACAATAGCATATTTGAAAAGAGCGTCTCAGAAAACCCATAAATCCGTAGTTCAATCGAAATCGAGCAGATAGCTGCTGAACATCAATTTTGTGATTCTATTGAATCCCCGGTCCCATGATTGATGGATGCATCGCGAAAGAGTCGATGGATGGGGGCAGGGCTTAAAATACACACAGGCTAGGCTCTGTACACTATGCTAATTGCGTATCTGAGTGCTCATGATACCCAAGGTACGCTGCGGCAAGTCTTTCGGGTAGGTAAGTTCCCGCACCCGGTAAATGAGCGTCAGCAAACCTCGTAATACTTATATTTCTCACTTCAGCATGTGAAATGTAACGTAAACATGGAATTGTTGGAAAGGGTACGCACAATAAATTTGCATGTTAGACTTTGGAAACAAGAATTGTTATACTCATTGTGCAAAAAAAGTTTTTTACAATGAGAAATTATTCTTGCATCGATCAGGGCAAATTATTACCTAATATTTACTCGAATCCCAGCTGCTTCCAGCTTACTCATATATGAGAATAGCTGGCTTACCCGTTCCGCCGGGCTCTGTCAGAACAATATGATAAAGGTCCCATCCCTGTCCCTGTACAGCCTTTCCCTGTGCCCACTTCTACAAGCCAATTCCTTATTCCCTCTGTGTTCGTAATCAGCCCCTGCTATGCCAACTCCCAACCCCGTCGGTCAAACTTTGCAAAAAATCGATAAAAGATGAAAT